CTTCTCACCCAATAGGCACCGGCCCAACAGCTCCTCCCTTCGAGGGACAGTCATCTTTTCATCATGAGACCCTTGTAGCCAGGGACGCAGCTTATTCCGCAGCAAATACTGCCCGAGATGGACAGATTGGAGATTATGTTTCTGCTGCGCTCTCCTCTCTAAAAAGCAGCCTCGATAGGCACAATCACGCCGTGAATCGAAATGGAGCACAATCACCTATGCAACTAAACCAGACATTGCTTCCTGTAGATCTGGTCATAGCAGTGGTGAAGAAGGTCAAATGTATACATCTCCACCCCCCTTAGATGCAATCACTTACGCAATATAGCTCAACCTCCCTTTTTCCTGGTCAGTCAATCTTGGATAGACTCAACCCGTGTGGAACATCTATGCCAGTCAATATATTTCCCGTTGAACCCTGTGCCACCGGGCTCGCTCACACTCTTCTATGGTATACTGTTCTATGTGATCCGCGATTATCTTCATGCGGGAGATCCCGATCTGGCACACTTTGATCTTCAATCAAGCCTTGCGCTCTGTGAACGACACTTTGCCGCTGGCTTGAGCGGGCCTGAGGTTATATCTGAACCAACTTTGGAGAAGATACAGGCACTGTTGCTTGGGGTATGTTTGATTGTCTTCAGGAACTACAAATCCTAACAAATGCAGGTTCTGAAAGCACAAGAGGAAACCGACGTCCAGCGGTGCTGGACCTTCCTTTCGCTGGCATTCAATATGTGCCAGAGCATCGGGTTGCACCGACGTTCTACTTTAGAAAAGGATGATTATGCTATTGCCGAGGCAAAACGCCATGCGTTCTGGGCACTTTACACCATTGACAAGAATATCTCTCTCAATATTGGCGTGACATCACACTTTCAAGATCACGATATTGATGCAGACCTTTATACTCCCTCAAATGATCCCAAGCATCGTCCGTGGGACCTAATGGGGCTTGTAATCGTCGAGTTTGCGAATGTTCAAGGTAGAGTTTATGACCAGCTATACTCTACCTCTGCTTGTCGGGCAGGTGATGAGCAACGATCAGCATCGATTGAGCGGCTGTCCTCCGACCTTATGACAGTACGGGACAAGCTCCTTGCGGTACGCCTTCCTCCTGTTGAGGTAGTCAAGTTGGCTGACGGTTTTACAAGATTGATGTTAGTCGGGGTCTTTATGCCGACTCCCTACATGGGATGGCAGCCTGTGCAGACTTTATAGCTTACTCTGTGTTGACCGTCATCTATCGTGCACAGACCCATCCACGCGACGTGATGGCAGTTTCTTCCCAGTGCTATGCATCTGCGACTGCTGCTTTACAGAGTCATCTGAAGTGCTTCACCTACTTCCGCGGTCGCCAGACACATAAGCAAACAGAATACGTAAACTGGTAAGACACCCTTCAATCTGCATGAACATAGTAAACTAAATGGACAGGATACTTCTCTATCCTTCATTCACACCCTTCGTCATCGTCTTTACCCACGCCATCACGACCGCCAGTACAGCAGATCTTGCTCTGCTACAGGATACCGCCAGCTCCCTAGAGTTAATCAAAGGCCTTTCACGAGGGTCAATGCATTTATACACTATCTGTGACGCTTTTGTCCGGGCTGCTCAGATACTTGTGAACTCACAACAGACACTAACCGGGTTGGAGCAACATCAAGATGGATCCCTTGTTATTCCGACAACTGATGGGCCCGGGAATATTGCCCTGCCAGATGTTTCATGGCCAGAAGATACATTTGACTCCACCATGAACCAAGCAGACATATCCATGTTTCTGAATGGCTTCATTGGCACTAACCGATCGGTCATGGATATTTTGAGTTTCGACCTTAATAGCGATTCAATCCAATGAATACACCTTGCATTCCTTTCACTGCTATCTGTTGACCGTGGCTTTGAGAACCCATCTCTCTCAGTCTCTTAATTACGCCTAGTATATGGGAAATTTGTCTGGACACTCTACTCAGTGCGTGCGAAATGCATAACATGGCTAATGTTGACGAAGAAGGCAACTACATCGAGACACGCGACGATTTAAAACGATTCGAAATATTATTCCCCTTTCCTTCCTATATACAACTGGGAAATGCATGGCATGGCAAACGCAGGTCAACAGAATGGTAAGCCAATAAAAGTGAGGCACGGTTTGGCCTAAGCAAACTAAACTAAGACGCCCTACCGAAAGGCCCATCTGTTGATTTCAATGACTTAGAAGACATACTTTATTGATGTTAGCTTGATCATAACAGCAACTCGAGGAGACTTACCGGAATGAACAGGTACGGGACCCTCCGCTCATACTCGTGCCAAGCTTCTCCATATCTCTCGCGACAACGTTCAATATCCCGCAGAGCACGATGGATGATCATAACAGTAAAGAAGCACGAGTAGAACCATGGGAATGGCGAGTTAAAGCCAGTAATAAGACCCCAGGAGAAAGCGAAAAACCAGTCACAGCTGTAATGGACCTTACGTGCCATTCCATCTATACCACATCAGCCCTGTTTCGCGATACAAAAATGCGCAACTTACACCACCCACTGCACAGGATGGAATCTCCTGTTTTTGTCTTTATGCAGACAGGGTTCTTCACCGATTTCCACGGTAGCTGAGGGAAGGTCTTTCGATTCACAGGCTTTCCTCTCTCCTGAGCTCGGAAGAGGTTCTTCTGGCTGTTGCACGTGTCCCATACCCAGTATGCAAAAATATACATCACAAATAGCACGCCCAGTGCTATAGGGTTCCACTTATAAGTTGACGGATCGTGGCTCGCCAGGTATAGAGTGCAATGGCAGTAACTCATGGGAACACCAGCAAGGTTCCAGAAAATGAGCATAAATCCCCACTTCTCATAATACATATCCCTGCGACAAGATCAGTATTGTTGATTTGTCCACCGCATTGAGCAACATACCAGCTCGTGATAATCAGTTCTTCCCCTTTAGCACATGCATTCGCATACAAGAAGTGTGCCAAAAGCAGAAATGAAACTTCCCCAGAGACGAACCCGTAGTCTTCCCACTGCTTCAACGCAGTCCCAAGCGTCAACAAAAACAGAATATACCAGGGTATGCGAACTTCGAAGAACATCTTCATATCAAGCCACTGGAACAAGCGAGGGTTGAGCTCTGCACCCATAAAAAAATCATAAACGTGGGATCCCGTCATCCGATGCTGAGCACCTCGTAGCAAGGCAGATGCGTACGCGAGAATCGAGACCAGAAAGCCAGAGCAGATAGCCACAGACATCAACGGACCGAACTCATCGACGAGCGTACTCAGACGAAAGAGACCGGAAAAGTGGAGGACCAATACAGCAGCGATGGTAACATACCACGACGCTGCCGCGGAGCAGTAGTAATCCAGCTGCTTCCCATTCAGATGGGGAAGGCATTTTCCCTTGCCGTATACGCCGGGGAGGTACAGGTACCCGAATCCTTCGAGGACAAGGAAGGTCCAGTATATTATCCATGCCTTGCGGTGGGGATAGGCATGCGTATAGGCGAGGTCAACGAGGTGGAAGAGGAAGTCGGTAATAGATTGGTTCTCATCGGGCAAGGGGAGGTGGCCGTCGTACAAGGTCGCGCCTATGAACATGTAATACATGAGGAGGGGGAATCCAAGCATCAGCATGGTAACCCCCGGCGCACCTCCGAACTCGAATGTCGGTTTCTCATCCTCGTGGGCGTTGGAAGACATCTCCGGGCTCGGATTCGTGGATTGCTTCATACTGGGTTGGTGGGTAGGTGGATTTAGTGTTCTGTGCCAGGCGTGTCTAGGTAGGCATCTGTCTTACCTTGTAGCCGTGCTATGAGCAGACATCCTTCTCCTTGTATACGGGTTGTTAGCTCTTCACAGATCGGGCGATCGCGGATTTTTATCAGTCCTCCATTGCTGTTCATGTTGTATACCTTCCTCGTTGCCGGGAAGCCCGCGCCTGCCGTGCTCTCCGCGGACTCCGCGGCGAGCCCGGAAACCTCGGGATCGGCTCAATCAGGTCAATCAATAATCGTAGCGAGGACCCCTAGTTCAGGAGAATTTCGATTCATTTTGGTCTAACCGAAGGCCTTTAAAGGGGAAACTAGCTGATAAGATTAAGATTTCTGTGGTGGTAAGAGACCTTTTCCGCTTTGCTGTTAGTGTAAGGGTCAGCTAGGCCCGAGTGACCGTGCGGATGTACCCTACTAGTAACAGCATGGAATAGCGAAGGAGTCTTGGGGAGGGAACTATACTACTATTAGATAAGGACATGACGGTAAAGGAAATCTATTAAAGCATCTCCTTAGCCACGTATGGTCGAATAAGTACGCAGTACTAGTGGTTGTGTGCTTTTGTGGTTGCTTTACTGTTCATCCAAAGGATTGTGGGGGTTCATCATTGTACTATATTTCGAGGACGGTTCGCTTCTTCATCAGTAGTAGTACCACTCTCTTTAACCTATCACTAGTAATAGTCTCCGATTTTAATCCCCTCATGCCAACTTAAATAAAAATAGATACAAATCACGCAAACCAATGCAGCATTTTACACTCAACTATTCCCCCTCCTCTCCAGCCCTACCAGGATTCGACAGACACCAGGCTGATGCGCGACTGTCACCCGCGGCGCCAAACCCGCCACCATGATTGGCCCCATCCCCAACCCCGATCATCATCTCTCCTCCAACCATCACTCTTACGCTCATCAACCAAGCTTTCATCAAGGATGCACCAAGAGCTAACCTAACGCGTAAGGCTGCGTGTGACAGAGGTGAACCGGCCTGCATATTCACGCTGCCGTCCTGGTTCTACCCACCGAATCAGCATCCTCCATGAAGCGCTCAGCAGCAACATCCCCCCTTAGGGAGTGTAGCTCATCACCCCCCCGTGCTGAGGATTGATTTTTCTAACGCGCCTGCCTGCGTGCCAACCTTGGGTAGGGCTGGAGGGTCCAGGCTGTCTTTGCTAGACACGGAGAGATATATAAGCTTGTGGGGGAGGATCTTGGCTTTCTTGATTTGTTTCTGATTCTTTCTAGTTCTGTCCATTGCCTGCTTGGCTACTACCTGCCTACTATTGGTATCTAATCTAGCTTCCAATAATCTCATACATACTACCAATCAACTACCTACATACCAATCTTCGACTTCTATCTAATCTCCCACACAAACAATCTTTACCACCCCCTTTCCTTTCTCACCTCGACCCAGACAACACAAATCCCCCCTCAAAATGAGCATCGGCAAGATCATCGGCAAAATCATCATTATCCCCATCATCATCATCATTGCCATCTGCGTCGGGATCTATTTCCTCATTAAGCACCGTCGTGAGCGCAAGCGCGAACGCCGCGAAGATAATCTCCGCGCCCAGTACTACCGGCAACAGTACCAGCAGCAGTACATGTATCCACATATGCAAATGAAATCACAACAACAGCAGCAGCAGCAGCTGGGCACGCCGGCCCCACCATACTATAACCAGGCTTATGCTGCGGGACAGCAGCCTGTGGCGTTGAATGAAGGGGAGTATGGATATTCTGAGACGATGATGAAGAAGCCGGAGCCGGTGGTGTATCCGGTGCAGCAGCAGCATCCGGGATCGGAGGTGGTTTAGTTCAGCTTGAGATGGGCTTGATGTAAGTTTGATGTCTTTCGGAATGAGTGTCTTGGTGTATGAATGGGCGTGCTAATGTTTATTAGGGGCTTATAGGTGTTATACTTGTTTTATGGGCTGTTTGTTGGATATGACTTTGTGACATGATACCTGTATTGTTTTTGTTGAGTATGTTTAGTTGATTGGCTTTGGATATGGATTGTTTATGACACGTTCTATGGTCATGATGTATGGATGAAATATAATCTGCTTTTTCATATCAATGATCAGATGGCATAGCTGTCTTATGCACCTTCCCTGATACCCGGAAACAATAGGCTTTATTGTTCTCGGACCCCTCATCATCTAAGCAGACTGGTAAGTCTGACATGAAGAACAATGACTACATTCGAGATATGCATAAGCTGACATGCTAAGAAAGTTGACTAGTGTAACTATCGCCAGCCACCTTGAGAAATAACCATAAGAATACCCAATACCAGCCATGGAAAAAGGGTGAAAGACGCTAGTTGTCATACTAGTAGCACATAGCAATGTATCAAGAGGAAGACTACAGTTAACCAGGGATGAAGAGAGGTGCGTACACGCCAACGCGAACTACATTAAGGAAGAAAAAGAGACGCCTGCAACTTCTAGTAACAACATGTACTAGTACTGGGTTGAATAACCGAGGCAGTCAGTCAGACAGATAATAATGCCTTGACCCCGCTCGAATCCTGACAGAGTTGGTGGCTAGTGGCCAGCAACTAGATATATGAACGTCGTCCAGCACTCACCAGCCAGCTGGTGTTCTGACTTCTTCGACAACCCAGTCGGCAGAGAGTGTTAACCACTATAACTGTGCATCATGGCTTGCAAGGTATCAGGAACGGCGTTTATCACGGGGGGTGGAAATGGTAGTACCAACCTAGCCCGATCGGGAAACCGTGCTAAGCTGCCTCAGGCATTGGCAAGACCACCGCCTTCACGCTTGCCCAGAATGGAATCGAAGCACTATCTCTCTTGGATGTGAACGAGACACTCCTCCAACGCACGAGAAACGAGCTCGCTACCTCATATCCCAATGTTGAAGTGGAACTTACGGTTGGAGACGTCTCCAAGGAGGCATGCGTGGATGAAGCCGTGCGCCGCACCGTCGAGCGATTCGGTCGCATCGATATCTCGGTTCACTGCGCCGGGATTGTGGGGCAACCGACCGCGACCCATGAGCTGACGGCAGCAGAATGGCAGAGGGTGATCGATATTAACCAGACTGGGGTGCTGCTCTGCCAAAAGGCCGTGATACGCCAGATGCTGACACAGGAGTATGTTTCACTGGTCCACTTGAGGGGAAGACGGCCGGCTAAGCGTCTTGCAGATCGCGCGGTTTGCGTCTCGGTCGGGGGACGATCGTGAATATGGCTTCTATGTTTGGGGTAGTGGCTCCGGGGGGTTGGTCAGGACTGTCGGCCTATACAGCTTCCAAGCATGGTAAGTGGATGACTGGGATTGGTGGATGAGTGTACCTAGATGGCTAATGGTTGCAGCTGTGGTTGCTCTCTCAAAAATGGTCTGTTGTTCATGAGAATCGCCTCCAGATTGTCAGACTAAACCGGTTTAGGACGCCAAAGCGTACATTCAACAAGAGATACGCATCAACGCTATCTGTCCTGGGTAAATGCCCCATAGGCCAGTATAATATCCGCTAGCTAACAATCCAGATACACGGACACTGATTTGATCCGCACGTATTGGGATGCGGGATTCATGGAGCCAGACGCGCAGCGAGTCGCTATTGGCCGTAGGGCACAACCGGAGGAGATCGCCGATGCACTCCTGTTTCTGGCCTCCCCGATGAGCAGCTACATGGTAGGCTCCGCCTTGGTCGTTGATGGCGGTTACACGGCTTGAGCGCTTTGAGCACGGAGGCTTCTTGATCTACCTACGTACAGCACTGGATCAATACCATCGCCGATCGGTCTTCTCAACTCAAGGATTAAGAGCAACTAAATAAAAATAAACCAGCATCGCAGTCATGTGTATATACAAATCATTAATCATAGTCGGACCTGGACCTTAGAGGACTCCCATCCGGCTGAGCTCTGGGGAGCAGGCTCGTAGTCCACATAGTGGAATGCGTTATCCTCAAAGGGTCCATAGAACCGGGTGCGATCATAAGGTGCAAAGGGAATGCCTCGGCGCAGTCTCTCCACCAAGTCCGGGTTGCTCGTGAAGTACCGACCATAGAGGAGACCATCGTACTTCCCGGCCTCCAGGACGCCCCAAGAATTGGTCTGGTCCCAGCCGCCAGCCGAAAAGAAGGGGGTCGAGCCGAAGATCTTGCGAAAGGAGGAGAGGTCGACACTCGGAAGGCCCCAGCTGCGGAGGAAGGCATCCTTTTCTTCGTAACTGTGAATTTGCTCGTAGCGCTGAACACATTAGTAAGTGGGATTCAATCGGTTATGAGATAATGCTTACCGGCTCCACAAAGCTGACGTATGATAGACCGGGGTGCGCCTGTTTCAGCGACTCGCACAGATAAGTCCAGGTTTCCACGCGCTGTTCACCACGCGCTTGGTTGTACAGTCCAAATGGCGTGAGTCGAATCGCCAGATTCTCCTGGCCAACCGTCTGAGCCAGTTCATTCATCAACTCCAATACGAAGCGGCAGCGCTTCTCTGGAGTTCCGCCGTATTCGTCTGTCCGTCGGTTGATGTTTGAGCTCAAGAACTGCTCCGGGAGGTAACCATTACCGGAGTGTAGTTCCACGCCATCAAAGCCAATGTCCATGGCAGTCTTGGCGGCTTGACAATAGTCTTGAATGGTTTGCTTGATGTGCGCGACCGTCAATTCAATCGAAGGGTGGTCTGCATAGCGAACCGGCTCCGACGCTCCCACGGCGGGGTGGGTGTAGCGCTCTTCGGGGTCATCCCAAACGCTGGCGGAAGCTGAAACTGGGGGTAAGCCGGTCATCTGGGGGACGGTAGCACGGCCGGCGTGCCACAGCTGGCAATAGATGTAGCCGCCCTGGGCGTGGACGGTATCAACGACTCGCTTCCATCCAGCGGCCTGCTCTTCCGTGAAGAGACCGGGGACTCCTGGCATTCCATTGCTCTGCTTGCGTGTTAAAGAACAGACGAATGACCCATCGGAGCTGGAATTTGGGGAGTATTTACCTCCAGCGATGGAGGGATGCCTTCCGAGATGATCAGCCCGCCTGGAGTTGCCCGTTGACGATAATATTCGACAACCAGGTCCCCAGGGTACCAAATCCGATTGGGATTCTCGGGAGTACTGTTTGAGTTCAACGGTTCGCCCCGGTTGCGTGTCAGGGGGGCGTGTACCACCCGGTGGCTCAGAGTGAGCTTGCCATTGGCAATGGCGAGCGGCTGAAAGAGCTTAGAATCCGCTCCTTGCGCCTGGACAATGGTCATTGTGAAAATTCTCGTAAAGATGCAATTTATGGGAAAGGCTACCTGGGAAGGTAAAGACAAACGAGGGAGCCACAAGTGGACAATTGGGGAGGAACTTTCTGGGTTGACACGGGCCGTGGTGCGACTGCCAACCAGCGTTCACCATGAAAGCTACTCCTCGCTATTGTTCGCTTCATTGCCTTCTCTCCCTTCTCAGTGGACTGGAACGGAGAGCAGCAGACCCATTGCCAAATGAGGGTGACAGATGGAGCCTGACAGGTTACTGGAACCCAACCAGAGTGTCGAGGACACGAGAAATTGGATGGAGGGACGGGCTGAACCTTGGGAAGTGGAGGCGTATCCACGAAGCCTACACAGAACCACAGATTGCATCCGACTCCAATTTAGTCATCTGTCTGTCCTTGGGTTCCCTTTTCCTGTTGACCCCTTATACACATGCAGCGCGTGGCAAACCGCGTGGGACTTAAGCCTTCTGCAACCTTGCTGATCGGGCGCAGAAAGGCGTCTTCTAGAAGCCCAGGAGAGTTTCAATAGCAGCCACCTTCGTCAAAAGTAACACAACCGGGGAGGAATTCTTCATTCAGATCACACGGTGGAACAGTGCGAGGTAAATGTGAGCCATCATATTCACCAGGAAATAATAGGGATGGAAGCCATCCGACGCTCCACTCGACACACAGCAAGCGAAAGTCAAAGTTCTTCATCGCGGCGCTTGGCGTTTACGCCAGAGGCTTTAGAGGCTTTAGGGCACACGCTAAATCACGGGTCGGTGTCGCAAGTCGGTCTTCCGGAAGAACAACCCCCGTTAAGGCCAACAATTAACCGGGCAAGCTTGTGAAAAAGGGATCCATTCTGCCATTGTTGACTGGCTCCATGACAGTTTGCCGGAGGCCGCCGCATCACGGGCTTTTCACAGACGCTGGCTTCAAACCCACTTTTCAGCGTTCTCCTTTATGCCGAATACCCTATTGTGGTTTGGCTCGGACACCGACGATCACTAATCCCTCAGTCGGGACTTTGGCGGGTTCTTCTGCAGCACCATGACAGATAGTGCGTCGTCGCCACAGCCTATATGCAGCCAGGATCTGGCGCATTGGTAGCGCGAGGAGCTATTGGAACGAGCGCCCGGGGAGGAAGCAATAATCGGGGTTGGTTATTACTCCTGATTATCTCCATTGTTCGTTCGAGATATTTCCGACGCCCTGCAGCCATGTCTCTGCGGCTAGTCCGGAGGAGAGGAGGAATTTGAGAATCGATTATCCAATAGTAATTATGAAAAAATATTGGCATCGCAGAGGGACGCCCTCTCGAACCCCAGTTTCGGCGTCGAAATGAGACACTCTTAGCTAAGGATCCGCCTACGGGTGTCAACTTTTTCAGAACCATGGTCCATGGACGCCGCCGCCCGCAACACCACCGAGTGTATTTACATAGCACGATACATATCTAGACTAGACCACGATCGCGTGCGACGCCCCAGTGGCAAGCAACCACGACGATCCATGCAAGGTGCATCTTTGCTTCTCCCTGTCCATCATTCCTAAAACAGGTAGACGTTATGACCTCTGGGGCCTATCACGATCGATCCGCTCGGATACTCCATGGTCGCCTCCCAGTCCAACTGCATCGGGGAGCTGCTGTATCCCTCCTTTTAAGGTTTTCCTATCGACACCTGGGCGGGACGATCGTGACCCGGTGCCATTGAAGTCATTTCTCGGAATGTTATCCCAGTTTCCGACCCAAAGTTGAGAGCCTCCCTAGGCAGCTTTATGGGCCTATCATAGACGGCGCAGCGCCAGCTTGACCCAGGGCGACGACGCTGTGCGCATGGACAGACCAAGCGCCTGTAATTTGAACCTATTTATAAATGTTTGTGGACTCCCGCGGTCGTCGGGGTCAGTGTCTTGCTCCATGTTGTTTCTTCCTGTTTGAAGAGGCTGCATTGACCACTGGCACGCCATGACTGTCAGTCATCCCAAGGATGTTTTGAACACTGTCAATTTCGTCACACAATGTTTGTGTTTTCCGATCATTAGCATATTCGTTCTCTTGCGTTTCTCCATCCGTATCTACTACAAACAGTTCGTAGGCGTGGAAGACTGTACGTCTGCTTGACTTTTTCTTCTGAAATCAGTGCTAACTTTCCCCCAGGGTCATGTCTCATAGCATGGGTACGTTGAGACTGCAGGTGCCTTCATAGGACGACTCACTGATTATTGCAGGTTCTGTTCATGGGATACTGTGGCATTGCCATTGCCGGTATGCATCGTTCTTTTTTTTTCTCCAGCAGCTCCAGCTAACTTGACTCCAGTGGGTCACTATGGCGGGGGTTACCACATTGACGATGTCTCTGAAGCACACCAAATTCTTTTTCGCAAAGTATGAACGCCCGGCTACCAGAAGGACTTGAAGTTCATCGGCTAATTGAGGATCAAAACAGTTCTGTTACATTGCCACCGTTCTTTACTGCCCCATGGCACTCTTCGTCAAGATCGCACTCCTTTCAATCCTCATTCGCATCTTCAGTCCTTACCGTTCCAAAATCTACTTCATCTACGGCCTCCTCGGCTGTCTCTGCATATACTACATCGTTGCCGAGGTCATCAAGATCCGCATGTGCGACCCGGTTCCGGGATACTGGACGCTCGATCCAAAGGCACGCTGTTTCAATCAACGGGCCGCCCTGATCGCCGACTCTGTCATCAGTGTGGTGACAGATTTTATTATCCTGATTCTACCTCTGCCACTCACCTGGTCGCTTCAGATGTCACGGAGCAAGAAGTTGCGGGTCATCGGCATGCTGTCGGCGGGTGGTCTGGCCACGGCCTTCAGTTTGTACCGGCTGGTTCTGGTCTTGCGTGATGGTAGCTCCAGGGATCAGACTATTATCTTTATGATCGTTATTCTTTCAGGGTAAGTTGTTATCCTAGAATAATCGATGCTGCAGACTAACCCCAAACTAGAAACGCCGAAGGAGGCGTGGCCATGATTTGCGCTTGTCTCCCCACGATCAACATCCTCATCAACAAGCTCCGCAAGAAGGAGTACAGCTCTCAACGTTATTACGAACCAGAGTCCTCTGTCAACCTTAGCAAACTCAAAGGAAGCAACAAGCGATTCTCACTCGGTAACTCCCGCCGCGCCGATGGCACCGAGTCCGCCTCCGACCAGTCACATCTGATTACATTTGCAGGGACGGTCGACATGGCAGGTAATGAGGCTGGAGGCATTCACAAGACGGTGGATGTGTCACAGACGATAGAGATGGTGGCCGATGGTGATAGTCATGAAAGCCACCATCACAGCAGTTTTCACTAATGATTGTATACCCTGGGTGGTCGGCTTTGTTTCATGGCGGTATGGTGTTCGGTTAATGATTTCGTCTGAACTATGGTTTAGCGATAGACTACACTCTTTAATATTTCCTTATTAATGAATTTATTTTCATGTATGATTTGGTCAACTGGCATGGGAATGCTTCCCACCTTCACAGCCAACAATGAAGTATCTGCCAAGATACTGATACTCTTGAACCTATGAAGCCTAACTATTCATCTTGCTAGTGCACATATTGATCTGATTAATTCACCCTTGAACCCTCCCAATTCAACTGCGTCAAGACACCAATTCAAGCACGACCCTCATTCAACCACAGATAATCAACATTGTGTCGCTATACTCATTACCTCAAATAATTCACCCCAGCCGTAACAGACCCCTATATAAAAATCAACTTTCTTCCCACCCCATCCTGTCCCTCTCCCCCCTCCACCATTATGATCCCATTTCCTATATATACATACTATACTACTAATAACCACGCACAGTAACCCACTAAAGCATCATAACTTGACTCATCAACTATATACCTTTCGTTGCGTACCTTGTCTACGCAAGAAATTCCGTCCAGAATTCCCGCCATCTTGTCTACGCACTCGATTGAATGGACTAGGGTTGATTAGCAGGATACCAGCACAGCTTTACTCTACTACGCCGGACATAATCCGAGCTCGGCAGAGAAAATTACATATCCTGACCATCAAATATAAACACCATGGGTAGAGGCGTATGTCCTCCTCGTCGAGGCGGATGTGGTAGTGGTAGATCTGGGAAGTGGAAAGCCGCTGTTCCTTGCTATTGCTATAACATGCCTGCACGCTTGTAAGACAATCAAGTACATCACTTTCATGGATAATATAATGAGAAGTTGCTAATGGAAATGCCATATAGATATTTACCACACCAGCGCGGATGTTTCCTTAATGATTGATTAATATTGTCTATAGCACCACACCGCGAACTACAGCGCACTTTACGCACATTGTGGTTTGCAAAGCCAGAAAGAAGTGGGCTACTCGGCTTCGGAAATTGTCAAGTGCCATGCTTGTCGCGGCTATTACCGTTCAGATATTTCTTCTCACTCGGAGATAGCAGACAACAATGTCTTCGACTAAAAGCATATACCGCGCAGCTGAATATCTCCAATGGAGCTTTGTCAAAGAAAGCATGCTCTAATTTCCCACAGTCCAGCCAACGGTCGAAGGTTATATACAAATCGCAAATGAACGAGGAATGGTTACCGATTCACAACGAAGATGAGGCATGCAAGAGCTTGCCAAGTAATGAGAACCATGATGAAACTCCGGCATCCTGTGTCTGTGGCTCAGGTTGCTGAGTACTGCTAGGACTCCAGTATAACTGGGAGTTCAACGTACGTGGACCCTCGCTCGGAAGAAGCTTATATCAGGTATATATTATGCTTTGGACAGCAACTGCTGGTTCAAACTCAGAAAGGCGTGCATCGTTTCTCGTCCATCAGAACGATGTACTCACGGGATGGCGATACCCCCGAGACACACTGACCATGAGATAACACCTTCACGGCAAAATCTGGCACGATGCAACAAGTCCAAGCTCATGGTCAGATCGAAATGTCACATAAGAAGTTTGGGTACCTATCGTCATGCTCTGTGAAGTGTCAATGATATCCGTAACCGGGTGTCTGGTTGCGGATGTCGAGATGTACAATGAGAGAATGCTTGGACATATGAGCTCAGACATGAGCTCAAACTCGATAACTTCCTTCATCGGGCTTGCAGAACTACCTAAGGTAGTTGAGCTAAGATGGTTTGAGATCAGCTCAATCTATGCTCCAGATTTATACTACCATGTGGGTGGAAGAACTACGCATGTCTTGTGGTCTTCGCAAGACTACCAGATAATCCAGCGTCGTTCTCCGTGATCGATCGGATTCTTCGTGGCTCTTCGTCGGTATATAGAACAGCTCGGACAAAAGCCATACAACCTGCATCAATTAATGCGATTTACCAGATGTGCAGGGAATATGGTCAAGTGGGTTCTGCTGTCTTCTGTCATATGAAGGGTTGACCTACACTTGGCTGAGCATGTCAATGTACATCCATAGGCAGTAACGTTCATCAGACAAGGCTACAGCTACTCTAATGGGTGGAGTGACCGGCCATCGCGAACATACCGTTACCCACCGTGCCAACAATCCCAGGCTCAAATTACGAGCCTCTCTCTTACTCTCTGCCGATTGTCAAGATTGAAGTCTATCGTGCCGGCCAGACTGATGTTGTTGGTTACTCAAACACGATCATTCTTGTTGAAGCAAGCACGGCTTCTGAACCCAGACAGCCGATCCGGCCCGCCAGTATCTCCTACTCTGCCTGGTTAGATTTTATAAAGTCGGATTGTGAATAC